TGTTCTTTTAATCCTTTTTAGCTAGATTTTCTTATTGTTAATGTCATTTGTTAACAGATTCGCCTTTTCTGGTCATTCCTGACTCTGTAGCTATACTGGTGTACTGCATTCTTATATATAAATCTTGTTCTTTTTTCTAATAAGAAATCCTCCAAAGATCTTCCAATTGTGGTCCTAGCAAAGTTGCTATCACCTAGTAGGATTTAAACTTACAACCTTGCGATTGTGACCTGGGAGCACTAACCACTATGCTATCGATCCATAGGTCCTTGAATATCTTTTGTTATTAGTTATAATAGAATCTATATTTGTATATTGTTTTAATACTTAACTATATATATATTATTGTTAATAATTAGATAATGTTTGGTTTGTTGTTATGTTTATATTATCTGTAGATTTAGACTTATTGTTGTTATTATTTGTATCTATTTTAGTAGTTGTATTATTCAAACTATTTTATTAAGTTTTCTGTTATATATTTATATCTATTGTTTACATTACATTATTTTGTAATTTTTATTTTAAGATATTTGTTATGATATAATTATTTATTACTGTTATGTTTATGTTATTGTTGCTGTTTATAATAATTGTTATTGTATTTGAGTATATATATGATGCTGTGTTGTTATTTGTTAGAATTATATTAAGTTGTTTATTGTTTTATATATTTGAAAACTTTGAAAAGATTGTAATAATGTTTTTTAATTAAGTATTTGTTACTTGTTCTGAGCCTATTTTATTGTATTGTCTATTTATAATATAGATGTTTAAGTTAAAGTTAAAAGTATATATTAGAATATAATTATGTATTTGTTGTTGTTATAATAAAACCAGATTCTTAAAAGACTAGTTTATTGTTTTTTTGTTTTACTGTAGTAGGTATTTGTTTTTAATATATTAGATGTTTTTGTGTTTATAGATCTTTTGTGTATATTAACTATTTCAAATTTTTTTTTTTAAATGATTATTTCTTTTTATTTATTACTTTTTTCAAATTTATAATTTTTGATAATTAATGAAAAAAATTTTTTTTTTATATTTAAAAAACTTTATATTATTTTTTTTTTTAAATATTAAGATAAGTACTTGCAATCTAAGATTTTATTAATAGTATATTTGACTAATAATTGCTTTATAATCATAGAGAGCAATCATGAAAAGAGTATACAACTAGCCACTCATACAACTTTAGTCATTGTCTAATTTAAGTAGTCTACCTAAAGGTTCTACACTAGCTGCTATACCTAAAACCTGTTTGTAAATTCTCTATTTAAATATTTAGTTCCTATATCTATTTATCTATCTTTGCCTACTAATAATTCTAACCAATGCCAATAAAAATATATAATGACTATTAAGTCTTTAAAGCAGTTCACTTATATAAGGAACCTTTGATCTTGTACTAAATCTTTTAAAATCTTCTGTATTCTATTCTTATATCTAACTTAGTATTATTATAACCAAGATCAATATTTGCAATTAGAATGTATTATTAGATTACTATATCTTTGTAGAGTTTATCTCAATTCTGGTACTGACTTTACAATATATTTTTATTATTTTAATATTCAATTTAAGTTTTACCAAATTGTTAACTCAGATAATCTACAAAAATAGATTGTAACTATAAATCTCTGGTTTATATATTCTCTGATATGTATTTTTTTTTCAAAACCAGAAATTTTAGCAACCTGATTGATTTATCTAATTTCTTTTCAAAGAATAACATATTTGTCTGATTTTATGAGTTTTAGTTTTATTTCATAGATCTAGTCTTTATAATAATACTGTTAAAAATTTAGACTATTTTTTTATTCAGGTTTTCCAAGTGAACTTCTGTCTTCCTACCTAGTTTCTGTAATTTACATGACCTAAGAACTTATTATAGATTAACATTACCTGATACCAGATTGTGTTCCTTCATACAACATTATATAAATGGCTAAACCTTTTAGTTATATTAATATAACATGAAATACAAGTATTTAATCCTAACTAATTATGAAAGACAATTAACTATAATACAAAAAGAATTACAAATTTTTATTATTACTAAGATTTAAACTCTAAACCTGTCATTTAGAAGTTAACAACTTAACTACTTCACTAGGTTATCATATTCAAAAACTTTATATTATATACTGTTATATATATATATAACAATATAAAAAAAAAATTTAATAAAATTTAAACAAATAGTTTTTATTAAAAATTTTTTAAACTTTAAATTTGAATATCTTATTAAAATTTAATTAACATTAATAATTTAGTATACTCTTCTAACAGTGATCATCAGAATTTTGAAAATTATATATAATTAATAACAATAACTCACTGTAAAAAAAAATTTTTTATACAACCAAATTCTGACAAAAAACAACAATTTATTTTTATAGTTTTACTAGAAGTTGTTAATTTCAACTATATATATATATATATTTTTTTATAGTTTTTTTTTTTTATTATGAGATAAAGGAAAGAACTTACTAAAGAGTAATGTAACCAAATTGTTGGCATTTGGTGCAGTAGTGTGAAGCCAGTAAAGATTATAAGAACTCTAAAATTTCCAAGAATACCATTTATGATATTGTTAATTATTATAAAAAGAATAGAGTTATCAAATCTTTTCCTTATCCAGAGACATCCTCTAAAATAACTGAATGTGATATTTGTTATCTTGTATACCTTTTGAAATAAAATAGAAAGACTAGTTTGAACATTTTGACCAATAAATTTATCCAATCAGTATCTGTTGAAGTATCTACATATATCATCCAATGTTGTCTTCATAAAGAAGAATTTTTTAGTAGAATTGGAAAGAGAAAACTATTTATAGATGAACCCTTCTATGTGGGTTATTTAGAGTTAACTGAAAACAGAAAACTTTAAAATAGAAAATAAAAAAATGTCATCTAGAGTGACAAATTATGATTTGAAATATTTGGAGAAGATGATCAAATGTATGTTTGAAGAAAAATAAAAAAAAAATATGATATAAATTGTTTGATTCTGATATTTAAATCAGGAAGAAGAAACATAATGGTATGGAACTGTTTTAGTATATACAGTCCCAGACTGTTGATTTAAGTTTTTGGTAAGATGAATGTGAAGGACTATACTAAGGTTTTTCATGATTGTTTATTACCTTATTTAGAAGATTTAAAAAATGTTGTTGGAAAAAAAAAAATCTTTTTCAAGATGATAATGTAAGAATTCACTCTGCAATATTTAACAAAAATTGGTTAGAAAAAAATCATGTTGATATGCTTCTCTGGCCTTCATACAGCCCAGATCTCAACCCTATCGAACATATTTGAGATGAATTAGAGCATTGTATCTGTAAACATATTCTTCTGCCAGGCAGTGAGTTGGAACTATTCTGTTTGCTTTAGAATGAATGGTTTAATTTAGATGGTTTGATTTTTAGAACTTTTGTTAAAAGTATGCCTTGTCATGTTCATGCTGTAATTGAAGCTAATGGCTATCCTACATGTTATTAATTTTTGTAAATAAAAACTTGTTTACATAACTATTAAATAAAAAAAAATTGACCCAATTTGATAAATAAGTTGTCGAGAAATTGCAGTCATAAAAACTTGTAAAAAAAATGATCATCATACTGTAACTAATAAATTCCGGTGATCACTGTCAGGGAGTGTACATATTTATTTTAATTATATAAACTTGTAAAATTAAAATAAATATTAAATTATCAAAATTGATTTTAAAATATTCAAGCTTAAAGTTCAAGAAAATTTTTAATAAAAACAATTTGTCTAAATTCTTTTAACTTTTCTCTATATATTCAAATCTTTTTTACTACAATTTGCAATAAAACAACACATTTTATACATTAGATAATTATACCCTATACACTCGAATTAAAAGTGTTAATATATAGAATTTTACTATACAAACATATTCCAATCTAATTAGCATGTAACTAAGATTTACCATAAAAAAATTAAGATATGTTCTTTTATATTATTGAAATATGTTCACAACAATAAATTGTTTAATATTTTCAGTTGTTCAATCCATTTTAATTTTAAATTTTTCCTCAATAGGAACCAGACGCCTTTGTCGTTTACCTTTCTTTTTCTTACTTATTTGTGTATAATATTCATGGGCCAAAGAATGATACTCTGGTGGATATGGTGATGGAATTTCACTCCTTCCAGGTCTCGAAATAGGATCACGTAAAAATATAACAGAACATGTATTAAAGTTGACTTCTAAATACTCTGGTATATATAAAAAAGGTTGCATATAAGGAATTGGCTTGAAAGTAAGACCATTCGGTGTCATAGGTTCGGAGAGGAGAATTATAGAAGATGGATTAACTGTGATAACATCTCCATCAGAAGCTAGATGAGATGGTTCACATATCTAAAAAAAACATATGCGTGTATATAAATGCTAATTTTATGATAATAATGAAATAAAGGTCGCATATTCAAGAATTTATTTACCTTTTTTCCATTAACAGTAACTTTACCATGAACCACCAATTGCTTAGCTGCCCAAATACTATTAGCAAAACAACTTCTAAATATAATAAAATCTACTCTTCTCTCTAAACTCGCGTAAGTTAAAGCCGCTATATGAGGATGTTTGCTTTCAATAGTCCCTTTACTATCCAAACGGATATTTGTTGCTGGTAAACGTGGTTCAAATAACCTCTTGAACTGTCGCTCGGTCAGTTGTGCACCATGATAAGCGCGTGTTTCCCTTTTCGCTTGCCATTTTTGTTGGAAGAGAGAACGATTATGCAGTTTTGGTAAACGACTTCCACGATTATAAATAAAATATAGATTTGTTTTGCTCCATGACATGCGAATTAAAGCCCTATTAAAACTATCTTTTGGTTTACGCATTTTGGAATAATGATAACAAAATGAAGAGAGAATCTTATTAGTTTATCGACCAATCAGATCATGAGACAGTTGTGAAAATGAAATTGACGCAGTATCGTAGATTTTAACAATGATAAGATGTCTGGCAAAAAAAAAGAGATTACACGTACTGGCACCACTCTTCGATCACAAGAGCAAAAACGTAAAACCGTATTTAAATCAGTATTAAATTCTCCCTATACAGTAAAATGGTAAGTTAATATTTTTTAATGTTTTTTACCTGACAAAAAAAATTCATTTTTATATATTACTTGTTTAGGCCTGAAGTGTCTTTAGAAGGTCAACAAGCTATACTAGAAGAGCTCTGCAAGTAAGGCACTTTCATAAATTGAAATCTTCAACATGCTTTTATTTAATATATTAAATCATGTTGTTTAGCATTTTGTCAGCTGTGGGCGATTACAAGCAGAAAAAGGTTGCATACAGGAGAAATCTCAGATTAAGCCGTTGTAAAAGTGTGAATAACTCGAATTCACAGAAATTCGAAGTAAAAGTAAATAAAACATTATCTACAATGGATGTTGACTGCATATCGGAGAACACGGAATGTATTATGACAATTGAAGATAACGAAATAGCAACATCTAGCAAATCGATTTCCTTACCACCACCACCTCCTCCTCCGATCTTATCATGCATCGTAATTGGAATTAACGATGTAACAAAACACCTTGAACAAACAATTAATCCTGACATTAAAACAAATTTTAAACGAAAATATGCGCAAGGATTGTCAGATTCATTAATTTCAACAAATCCTAATAATCAACTTGTGAACCCTTCGCCCATTGTAATTCAAAATGAACCTTTAACACCTTTACGAATGATTTTTGTTTGTAAAGCTGACATATCATCACCTCATTTATGTGCACATCTGCCAATCATGTCTTCCATAGCTAGAAATGTATTACTTGTTCCATTACCCTTGGGAGCTGAGGAATTGATTAGCAACAAAGTTGGTATAAAGAGAGCGTCGTGTATTGGCGTAAAGGTAAAATAACTTTAAATCCGTAATTCAATGAAGTTGACATGTATTAAGGTTTTTTATTGGTTATATCAAGACAAAAACGCCTGAATTTGACGGAATCTACAAGCTGGCCAAGGATAAAGTAGGACCTGTTAACGCTCCATGGTTGACCCCATTCAAATCAGAACTTTCAAAGAAACGAAAAGGAATTGAGGAAGATGAAATTATACCATCGACTAGTATAATGGATGATTTTATAAAGACAACTTGTAATGAATATGTGCCAACTCAAATTAAACAACTTATAACATCTGCTCCAATAAAGTCTAAGGCGAAGCAAAAAAAAAATAAAGGGAAAAACAAAAGCAACTGAAACAAAAAGACCAGGGTAATAATAATCATAATCGATATAAACACTTTAGACTGCCATTATGAAAATATATTATTTTAATGTTACTCATTCTAATTGCATTTTGCAAACTACTTTTAAATAATATTGATTTCTTGTATCAAAGTTTTGGAGGTGTGTCACCGACTTTTGTCGGTATATATGTAGCTTGCTTTTCATGCGAATCGATTACGGACGGTAAAGTAAAGTCTTTGACTTCTTTTAGATAATACTGCAGTAAAGCATTTTTACCAGCCTGTATGAATTCGCAGATCAATTAATTTGTAAATCGAATGAAATATAAAATGAGCAAATTTGAAACCTACCCTGAATTCCGCCATCTTAACACTACTGCCAAATCCTTCACCTAATTGTTCTGTGCCCGAATATACACCAATAACAAATGCAGGCGCATATGATAATCGACCAGTTTCAGATTTTAATCTATTAACACGAGGTTAGATTGTGATCATGTAGATATCTATTCTTGAGTAAATTAATCATACCTAGAAATCGGTGATGGTTTGTTTAATCGCTTCATCAATGCCGACAGTTCTCTTTTTGGTTCCTTAATCTCAATAACCTCTTGCATCTTAACATCTCTAGATAATATATAGTCGTGAATAAATTGTCGTGCAGCGTGTGGACCCTTTGGAAAATAAGATTAAAGCTCGTAAACAACGTGTACAATCTGAATCTGCATATTCAGATTTAAAGATAACCGAATAAAGTGAACATACTTTGTCCATATATAAGGCCCCGACAATAGCCTTAAGTGCATGAGATATTGCGGTGCCTTGTGTGATCCTTTGTACAGGTCCTTTAGACTTACCGACAGATTTTTTTTTACTTGGAATTTCTTTATCTTGAAGGAATAATTCTTCATCTGTAAACTATTAAAATCCTACGTAAGATAAAAAAAAAAAAGGCCGATGCTATTACCGACAAAATATATAATAGACTTACATTGTTCCATCTAACAACATACTGTAAACCAACTTCTTGTCCTATGACTGTTAAAGTTAAGTGACCACAGTAAGCTGTGATGGCTTGTTGTAAACACGGTAATGGCAAAAGAGGGTATTTGAGGTGTAAATATTCGGTAACATATAGACCAAGCGCATGATTTCCTATTTAATGTAAATAAAGAATTAAATAAAACAATAATAATAATAACAGGATCAAACAGTTTTGTGCCCAACTAACCCAGCACCTGCAAGCCTTCGTTCGTTAATAAATCATTTTCATAGACATTTTTATGAGTGACGGCTTGCAAAAGCAAATCTTGATTTGCGAAATTAAGATTTAAACGCGCCGCTAAGGTATATAATGCAGCTGATATCTTGTTTTTCGTGCTTTTCGTGTTTTCTATGCCTTTCGTGTCTTTTATGCTCTTCGTGTCTTCTGTGTCTGTCGTATCTATGGTTGTTAGCCGAAACTATTTTTATGAGATGAAGAACGAAACCTAACCTCCTGAAGGACGAAACTGCCGCAACTCTTGCAAAAGATGAAACCTCCTACGAAAGTCGAAACCCCTGACGAAACCTCTGCGAAGGATGAAACCCCTCGGTGAAAAAACGAACATTTGAAAGGTGAAATTATAAGAAAATAAAAGGCTATGTAGTTAAGCGAAATCTGCAATCTTGCCTCGCAATTTGATTGGCGTTTGATACATATTGGCCTAAAAAAATCCACTAGCCAATCAAATTTCAATATATTGTATAACACATAAAGGTAAAAAAAAATTTATCTTTTCAGATCAGCTAAATTATTCTCCCACTAATTAAGCCTGATATTCAGGAGCTGTTAACTTAAAAAGTCAAAATAATAGTCACAAAATATTTAATGTTAATAGTCAAGAAAAAAAAAAAGTAATACGTACTACTAAAAAAAAGGTAAGATTATATGAAAGGCTGAGTTAAGGAGTTGTTAAGAAGCATAAAAATCTAAAGTAATTCCAAAGATGCATTGAATTTACAAGTGAAAGATGAGGCGAAGAATCTGTAATTAAAGAAAGTAACTAAAAATAGGAAAGAACGAAAAAAAAATAAAATACTTTTATTGTCAAATAGATAAGAATATTTGAATAAAAAAATAAAAGTCCATCCGTGCTTACCTTCTACATGTATATTTTGTATTCATTATTTATTGTTCTGATACATTTGTTTTACTTATATAATGAAAAAAAGAAAGAACAAAATATCAAAAATTACAGCTTATACTAGAGTTAAAAAAAACCTAGATGAATTCAGGGTTGATAATGGAATCTTGTTTTGTAATTTTTGTGATCGCTCTATTGATTGGACACGAAAGTCAACAGTTAATTAACACCTTAATAGTAATATGCACAAGTCAAATAAGGCTTTACAAAAAAATAAGCAGCAGCATCAACAAATTATCATCACATTTCTTTTTATTATTTGAATCAAAGAAAAATTTTTAAATAACTTTAATTGAATCTTTTATAACAGCTAATATCCCTATAAAAAAAATTGTAAAGAAGGTGAAGTTGTTTTACAAGCATCTACAATACATCAATTATATCTTTCTCAAGTTTTTCTAATCATTTTAAAAATCTTAAATCTGTTAATACTTTTTTTATATATAAATAATATAAATTGGTCTTAGTTAATTTTCCTATTCAAGTTAATAATTGTATTATGAGACAAACTCTTTATTAAATTCTTTTCAAATATAATATTCTATTTATTTTTTTTTATGTTTTTTTGTTAGATTCTGTACAATATATAAAGAAATGCTACTGTGATGTTTTGCTTACTGTAATGTTACAATTAGTTTATATACCTTATTGTATATATATTTTAAACTTAATCAGTTAAATTAATTAAAAATTTTTTATTTATTTTTTTTTTTTAAGGTATTAAGATGAGTACATGCAACTTAGGATTTTATTAATAGTATATATTGGCAAGCATCTGATGTAATAGACAAAAGTAATTATAAAAAGAGTATACAATTAGTTACTTGTACAACTTTAGTCATTGTCTAATTTAATTAGTCTGTCTAAAGGTTCTATACTAGTTGCTATATCTAAAATCTACTTGTAGGTCTTCTATTTAAACATTCTGATCTCATATTTATTACACTCTACTAATAATTTTGGTAAATCAGTGAAGATATGTCATAGTCATTAAGTTATATTTAACTTTATACTAAAACCTACTAAGTTTTCTGTATTCTATACTTACAGTTAACCTAGTATTATTTTGGCCTAGACTATTATTTGTAGTTAAGACTAATTATTAAACTGTTATATCTTTGTAAGATTTATCTAAAATTCCGGTATTCATCTTTTTGATATCTTCTTTATTGTCTTTTACTAATCACTACTTAGAATTGATAGAACTCTTCAGACTTTTAATTCAAATAACCCAATATAGTATACCTTAGTATTCTTTTCCTTTAGTAATTCTAGTAACTTGGTTGGTTATATGTTCTTCTACACATTTTGCTATCCAGTTTATCTGTCTATCCCTTTGAAAGTGTTTTATAAGTTTTCATCAGTTCAATAGCATTATCAAAAGGTTTATGCTACTTTCTTAGTTAGAATTTTCAAATAGGTTTTCAACTCTTTGGTTCCTTCACTTTTTATGCCTAATAGTCTTATTATAAGTTTGCACTAAAGTTTTATATAATACTGATTATTAATATTTCTCTATATAGGTGTAATGTTACATTTTATATAGATGTTTCAAGCTCTTATTTGAAATGATACAACTAAAAGTTATAGATACATTAATTCAATTAATTAACAGAGATAGTTATTATAACATAGATATAAATTCTAAAATTTATCATCTACAGAATTTGAACTCTAAATCTGTTATTTTGGAGTTAACAACCTATTCATTTTACTAAATTATTACATCTCTTTAATTAAAATTTATTATTATATATATTTAATTAATTATTAATAATACTATTTATAGTATTATTATATATATATATATTTTTTTTTCTTTTTGATAATCTTGTCAAGGTTATTTTTATTTTATTTTATTTTTGATGTTAAGGTAACTTCTTTGATCTTTTGACTTTTATTAATTACTTATTGGTATTGTGATTTAATGAACTACTACAAAAGAGCATACAATTGGCTATACATGTAACTTTTTTATATTACTTATTTAAGGAGTCCATCTAAAGGTTTTTTACCAATTGTTATACCTAACACTTTTGCTTAAATGTTCTACTTTAAACTCTCTGAACCTGTAACCTGTATTAACTTACTAGGTCATATCCAGATGCTCAGATTATTGTCTTAATCTTAGGACTAATTTATTCTTGAGATAAACCTCTCAGAGCTTTCTGTACTTATTTTTATAACTGATCTAGATATTGCTATGACAGAACAATTTAAATTAAAAACTCTTTCCTGTAGATTCCAAAACAATAAGTAAACAAAAAAGAAAAAATCACAAAAACCTAACTAACTAAAGAACAGGATAATAATACTAACTGCAAGCCAACCTGCGACCTTCTATATACTAACCAAACAAACTAAGATACACTATTACAGGAAATAAGAGAAAACACAAACCCAATACCAAAAACAAAGAAAATACTCCAAGGCCTTTAGGGCCTACAGCTGACTTTACTTTTACAGCAACACAAATTCTTAATATGCAGAACAGTCATAAATATTCTACCAGATAACAGAAACAATCTCAACACAACCAAGCTTCTTATAATTGACCTAACAAAAATGACAAAGATACTACAAACAAGCATCAAAAAACCTTGATACCATCGTTGAAACAAAACAACAATAGTGGGAAAAGTATCTTATCCCCATCTAACAGCCACATGACTGTATGCAGAATCAACTACAACAACAATATAACAAAACAAACAGGTTTAACCAATAATAAAACTAGTTTCATAGGAAACAACAACAACTACGTAACAATTACACAAAACAACAACTCTCGTATTACCATAAGTAATACACAAACACAAGCATATAGTCTCAATATAGAAATGGAAATTACATACACAGCACAGCACACCCTAGAACCAATTGACACCAACCACCAAACTGAGCCCTCCCAAACAGAGATACAATTTGACCAAAACATGGAAACCAAGTCTGTTAACACAATACTAAGTACTGGAAACTCAATAGAGAATGATACACAAACTAGACATACATATAGCCAAGCAGTTAAAGGTGAAACAACTGCAGACACAGACCCAGAAAGTGATACAGACTATATGCAAATATGAACAGAACAACTAAACCAAAACATAAATAAGAGAATATCAGACCCCTTTGATCTAACACTCTGGAATTACCAACTTACAACAGAAGCTCTTAAATCAAAAGAAAAACTACAAGAACTTATTACATATAAATTTAAGACCAAACCTGCGTAACAAATACAACCATATGCAATTGAATCTAAATTTAGACATACTGATCGCACCTTCTTCACTACCTTCACAAGAGCTAAATGCTTCATGCCTCAACACCAAATAGAGTACAAAAATCTATTCACAAATGCAATACAAAAATACAAAACTAAAAACAAAATAACCATCATTGACAAACAAACAAGAGACAAAATACATCTCAAACTCTGTCAAAAACTGTACATTAATCATATCGCCAATACGAACTTCAACACATGTTCACAAAAACATATATATCAACTACTAACATATTATAAAGGCTTTATAAGAGATGAAAAAGCAATAGACAAAGAAGATATACAAGAAGCATTCACAGAGTCAACAAAAAGCAAACTACAAAAACTTCCTGACACACCAATGAGAATTTCAGATAAGATAAAAGCCATCCTACTATTCGAACTTCCGATAAAACTCAAGTCACAAACAAAAGCCATAGTTACAGCATTACATAGGATTTTTGAATTTAAAAAGCTACCACCTACCTACTTTATCGAACTTCTACCATTACTACATGATATAAATGATCTAGACTACAGAATTAAACACCTTTTCCCAATAATAGAAAGAAGAGAACTAGGAAGACTTGCATATTATAGAAAACGTCTACAAGAAGTTTATAGCTTCGACAAAATTCCAGATCACTTTTTTAACTTACCTCCACTAATGCCAGAAAAACCAGCACTTCTACTGGCATATCAAGATATAGAAGACCCTCAACTAAGAGCATGCTTTTCAATCGACAGAGCTAATCAGAATACAAATATGCAAGATATCGTTACAAGACTTAGAGAATACTATACCTTTCAAAATATTCCAAATGACTACTTCTTAGTAAAA